CCAATAATAGATAAACAATAAATATTAAAGTTGGAACCTCATTGTGTTTAGAACTGGTTATAAATACAACCTTTCTATGTCTATTGAAACACTGCATTAAAATAAAACAAACAAGTAAAGAAAAAAAACTTAAAAAATGGAAGTAAGTGTAGGGATGGCTAATATCAATCCTTCAAAAATAATGCAAACAAGATAGTGGGGATGGCACTTGCACCATCCCTACATAATGACACCGACAAGGATTATAATATAGCAATATATATATATCTATTAAATCACAATTCAGTTTAATTGATCCTATTTTTTTTCTATTAACATTCTACTACACCGTGTGTCGGTGCTATTATGTAGGGATGATGCAAATGCCATCCGTACCATTTGTTTGCATTCTTTTTTGAAGGATTGGTAATAGCCATCCCTACATTTACTTCCTTTTTTAAAAGTTTTTACAATACGTAACATGCACAATATTACATGAAGTAGTAATCCATGTACCACAATCAAATTCGCGCACTACAGGAAACGAAATTAGAACAAAATACAATTAGTTAAGGCAATAGAGAACTGCGAATATCATATTGCGCTGTACTATACTATACTACTAATATCAGTAATATGATATACGTTTAACTTTAAATATCCAAGATAAATAGCCAACAATACACTGACAAGTCATAATTCCAGTATCAAATTATTTCCATAGCATAGATCTACATATAATATTTTTAGATTTACTTCTTCATGAATTGCTTGGCCTCGCACATATGCCAAATTTCTATCATATTCATGAAACGAAATCGTTACCAACAAGTCGAATAAATACACAAAAGCAGATAAAAAAGTGCTATTTTGAATATTAAATTTATTTCTAAAATGATATTACAATACATACGGCATTGTATAAAGTTCTATAAATACAGAATTTTTTCCAAACATTTTCTTTATATCTTTGGTACATCTATACCATCTGGAATTTACATGCCACGGTACAGTAAGAGCAGAATGTTATTAATGTATATTATTATTTCATTGCACAATTACAAAATATGCATACCACATCCATTGTAATGTGTTATGTTCACAGCACAGGAAGTTTATTTAGGTCTTAACATCTTGATGTATATTTACTCCATTACATTTGTTCATGCTACTTGCGTCGTAACTAAGAGCAATTACCACAGCAAGATGGCGCCCCACTAGTACTAATCGGCAAATAGAATAGAACGCGGACGTCGTTCTAGTTTACTATGATAGTATATATGCCACGCCCTTGTTTAGGGCACTATTAAAATATGAGCACACAGTTATACCATTCAATTTAATTTATGTATTGCCTTTATGGGCAATTTACCATGTAATAAGGATTTAATCTCAAAATATAAAAAAATAGTTTCTGATTTACTTATCTAAATTTTGGATTGGTTGTTAAGCACAAAGCTACACAAGGGACTATTTGTGTTCTGCCCACCATGGGTATCGAAACAGTGAATATGTAGCGTCCTAAGCTTGCATATTCACTGCCACTGAGGGCCTTTATATATATAAACATTTCCGTCTATGAGCTTTCTTCACGTGCTACTCT